TTTATCAGTTGATTTGATCTACATTATTTTTTACCTATCTCCATTTTACAGATGAGAAAACTGAGGCTTAGATGAGTTAAGAAATTTGCCCAAGGTATTACAGCATGAAAGAGGCCGGGCTCGATGGAAATTTAAGCCCGCCTGACTTCAGAGCCTGTGTTCATAGCCGCTCTGTTCTACTGATATGGCTGGGGGAACCCACAGGGTCCCCAGCATGAGCAGGGTCTGGGCTCTAGCTGAGGGTATTCTCAGGGACCAGGGCTGGCCGTGGGGGCCCTCATGGCAGTGGGCCTACCCAGAGTCAGCCAGGGAACCTACTAGTCCTGGGGCTGAGGAGCTGGGCCCTGGGCCTCATATTCACCTCAGACCACCCACCCTTCTCGGTGCCCTGGCACTAGCTCTAGGCAGCCCATCCCCGCAGAGTCCAGCCTCATCTTCCCCTTTGTTCCCCTGTGCAAGAGGAAAATGCCTTAGGCAGGGAGATAGGGGGCCTGGGGCCATTCTTCACTCTCACTTTGTATCTTTGGGCAAGCTACTTCTCCATACCTGTGAAATTGGGCACTCGTCCCACCTTCTTGCAGAGGGAATTAGGGAGACCCTGCTGAATGCAGCAGCCTGACTGGAGCCTGGTGCAGACTCCCAGGCTTGGTCGGGGGCCCTGATCCTTGTGTCTGGGCTGGGTCCCTCCCAGTGCACCCACAGGGACACCTCAGAATCCAGCCTCTCTCTAGCGAGCTAGTCTCTGTGTGATGGGAGGTAGAACAGCTCAGGGGCTCAAATCCTGCCTCTACCGCTTCCTGACTCTGGGGCCTTGGGCTCTGCTAATAGTGGTTATGATATATGGAGCTCAGTATATTCCAGATGTGGGCAAACCTGCCATATTTCACCCCCCTGACAAGTCTATGTAGATACTATCCCCAATTTATACAGAAACAGCCTCTTAGAGGTTTAAGTGACTTCCTCAAGGTCAGGAAGTAGGGAAGCAAAGGATTTGACCTTTCTGAGCCTCAGTTTCCTCTTCTGTAAAATGGGTACAGTAATACCCATCTCTCACAGTTGTAGTGAGGATTAAACTAACTAATGTAAGCCAACTAAATTGGCATAGTGGGTGCTCAGAAGTGTGACTTCTTTTCACCCTCTTGGAGATGGAGACTGTGCTGGAACAGTACATTGGGATCCCCTGGGATGTTTTACAAAGGACGGGTGCTGGGACTCTGATTTAAGTAGTCTGGGGTGCAACCGGGGTACCAGGATTCCTAAAACTCCCCAGGTGAGAGAATCTTAAGAGCCACCATACTCTAGATCTTCAGTGGGTAGAGGATGGACATCAAGGGAGGCCCTCTCCCCTGTTAGTTCCTGAAATAGTCTGCTCACTGGTCTTGCTGCTTGCACTTTCATCCCCCTCCCTAATCCATTCTTCACTCCACCGCCAGAGAGGTCATTAAAAACTTATATTAGATCACTCTCCTTCAGGAACTTCCCATTCATGGCCCAGGCCCTGCTGACTCTGTGGGTCTACTTAGAACCTTCCCTCCCCAACCTGCCCCGGGCCAATTGCCACTCAGGCTTTACATCTTACCTGAACCAGCCTTCGCACAAAGAGGCGTCCCTGGCCACCCGTCTAGAGGTGGCCTCCCTAGTTTTGCTCTTCCAGATATTGTTAAATCCATGATGGAATGAAGAAGACACTTTTGAAATCATCTCTTTATTTGTGTGCTTGCCTGTTTCAAGTCTATGTCCCTCGCTGGACTCTAAACTCTGGGAGGGCAGGGTCCATGCGTGTTTTTGCTCATTGCTGTACCACAGTGCCTTGAATAGGGTCTGGCACAGAGTTGGTGCTTAATCAATACTTATTGAATGAATGGATGGTAGATGGGATGGATGGATGGAGGGAGGGATGGTAGGTAGGTACCAGCTCTGCAGCGTCTTAGAGGGCTGGGTGTTTGGAATTTCTTAATTATTTGAAAAATGTGTGTGTGTGTGTGTGTGTGTGTGTAATAGCTCCCATCTAGTGAGAACCTACTATGTCTTATGTCAGCAGGAGGATTTGAGAGAACTACAGGGCTTCCCCCTCTCAAATTCTCTCTCCACCCTTAAAAGTGTCTCTGTTCTCTCTCCAGCTCACTGCCCTGAATTATACTGCCCTCCTCCCCCATCTGCCTTTCACACTCTGGTCTGCAACATTACTTCCACCTCCTAGCATCTTCCTTTGGGCTCCTCAGAGGGTAGCCCCACACTCGTCAAAGCAGCAGGGGCCCCAGGCCTCCTCCAAAGACTGGGCTCACTAAGGAGCCTTGTCGGAGCCCCGGTGGTGGAGACTCGGAGAGGTGGCCGGAGCGGGATGCAGCCAGCTGGCGCCTCCAGGATCAGTTAAGCCTGCAGGGGAAGCTAAGGGCCCTGGGGAGAGAGCGGCCAATGGGATTAGGGTGAGAGCCATGGTCTGGTGGGCCTGGGGTGGGGACACAATGAAGAATAGGTGCCTCAAAGACCATCATGCTGTGTCTCCAGCCTCTGGCTCACCCTCCCCACCCGAATCCGCCGCCTGCCAACTGCAGGAGGGCTTTAGAAGAAGCTCAAGGGGGGAGCGCCTGGCTGTCTCAGTCCATGGAGCATGCGACTCTGGATCTCAGGGTTGTGAGTTCAAGCCCCACGCTGAGTGTAGAGATTACTTAAATAAAATCTTACAAAAAACCCCAAAAAACAAATAGAAGGGGGGCGCCTGGATGGCTCCGTTAAGCATCTGTCTCTTGCATTTGGCTCAGGTCATGATCTCAGGGTCATCAGATCAAGCCCCTCCCCCACACTCAGCAGGGAGTCAGCTTGAGATTCTCTTTCCCTCTCTCTGCTCCTCCCTCTGTGTGTTCTCTCTCTCTCTCAAATAAATAAATCTTTAAAAAATAAATAAAAGAAGCTCAAGGCAAGGGGAGCCTTGTAAAGGGTTCTAAACCCAATTCCAGTGCAGGAAGGGGGCTTTCTTCACCCAACAATTCTCGGACACAGCTGCGTGTCCAACAATTCAACTGAATTCTGACAGTATCAAGCTGGAGACAGCATCACATTCCACAGGTTAAGGCCTCAGTGCTACAGTCCTGGGGCTGAGGAGGTGGGCCCTGGGCCCACTCGCTGCCCCCCTCCAACCCTGCTTCAGATGCTGATCACAAGTCCAAGTTGTCACCTGTGCTCCTGACCAACCAACCAGACTGGAGGTTCCAATGACCCCCTCTCTGGGTTTGATTAATGTGCTAGAGAGGCTCACAGAACGCGGAGAAATATTTTACTTACTAGATTACTGGTTTATTATGAAAGGATAGACAGTTGATCCTTGAACAATACAGGAGGTTAGGGGCACCAACCCCTGCCCCATGCAATTGAAAATCCGCCCATAACTTTGGACTCCCCCAAAACTTAACTACTAATAGGCTACTGTTAATCACAAAATCTCCCAATAACATAAACAAGCAATTAACACATATTTTGTGTGTTGTATATCTTATATAAGTATTATGTACTGTATTCTCACAATAAAGAGAGCTAGAGAAAAGAAAACATTAAGAAAATCATAAGGAGGGGCGCCTGGGTGGCTCAGTCATTAAGCGTCTGCTTTCAGGTCAGATCACGATCCCAGGGTCCTGGGATCGAGCCCCCGCATCGGGCTCCCTGCTCAGCCGGAGTCTGCTTCTCCCTCTCCCACTCCCCCTGCTTGTGTTCCCTCTCTCGCTGCGTCTCTCTCTGTCAAAAAAATAAATTCTTTTAAAAAAAAAGAAAATCATAAGGAAAATACATTTACAGTACTACCCCGTATCCATCGAAAAAAATGCGCGTATAGGAGGACCCATGCCATTTAAAGACATGTTGTTCAAGGGTCACCTGTAACTCAGGAGCAGACAGATGAAAGAGAGGCACAGGGCAAGGGGGTGGGGGGTGTGGAGCTTCCAGGCCACTCCCCAGCGCCTCCACCGTGTTCACCAACTAGGAAGTTCTCCGCACCCTGTCCTTTTGGGTCTTATGGAGGCGTCGTTAGGTAGGCACGCATGATTAAATCATTGGCCTCTGGTGATTGGAATCATTCTCCAGCCCCTCCCCCCTCCCCTAATCACAGGATTGGTTCCCCTGGCAACAAGCCCGCATCCTTAGGTGACCTAGGGACTTTCCAAAAGTCATTCATTAACATAACAAACAACACCTTTGTAGCACTCCTCACTTAAGAAATTCCAAGGGTTTTAGGAACTCTGTGCCAGAAATGGACAAAGACCAAAGATGAATTTACTATAAAGCACAACATCATACCCTGTGGTCAGCATCCTCGTCCCCTCCCCCTCCTCTTCGCCATCCTCATGGCTGACTGTGCCAGGCACTGTACATATATCCACTCAGTTCATCCTCAAGCATCCACAGAAGCCAAGCGCTACCGCTCTCCTTGAACAGATGAGGAAACTGAGGCTCGGAGTGCTTATGTCATCTGCCCCAGGTCACTGCACTGGCTGATCTCAGAGCCCAGCTCTTCAGCACAACACTATACTTGGTCTCCAAAGAGCTACAGCCTAGAACCATCACACATCCCTAATCCCAAAAGGACAGCCTCCAAGAGGGTGGGGTCTGCATGCCTTCTTCTCAAGAAAATAATGGCGGGCGCCTGGGTGGCTCAGATGGTTAAGCGACTGCCTTCGGCTCAGGTCATGATCTCAGGGTCCTGGGATCGAGTCCCGCATCGGGTTCCCTGCTCAGTGCAGAGCCTGCTTCTC